TAAGTTGGCTCAAGAGGTAAAATATATAGATGTTATCGGCCGGCTGGGAGGTCCGTATAGTGAAAAACTGTGACTGAAGTCTTGAAAATGCTGCCCGAAGCTGGAGGCCGAGGGCTGCATTTTCAAGCCCGAGGTCACAGTTTCTCACTATACGGACTGACCCTAAACCAGCCAATAACATGTGTATCTTTTTTCCCTGTGGTAAATTGGCTTTCAAGTGGGTTTGTTTACGCAGCTTTGTCATTGAATCAGCTTATGTGCCGTCTACAAAAAATTCGTAAAAAATTTAACAAGCAAACGAGCGAGTAACTCAGACACTAGATAAAGAAAGATGTATTAATTACCGTATTTATTTCGATCTACCTTATGTTAGTTGCATTTAGCTCACCAGTTAAGTTCTCCAAATTTTTTTTTCGGTGTGAAATTTTGTGCAAAGTTTAAAGTATTACAGCAAATTAAAACAATTTCTGTCAGTCATTGCGAATCATTTGAAATCCAACTTTTCTATCCTAAATTAAGTTCAAGGAAGCAAAGAAATTCATGAAGTGTATTCCACAGAAATTCTCTCAAATACAGCAACGATCAGACAGGTAAACTCAACTGAAATTGATTCATTTTTTGCTAAAAATTGTACAGAGAGAGACAGATAGGATTACGCGACATTACAGCGCCAAGGTACAAACAGCCAAACAAACTCTTGCAACTCAATTGAATTTACTTAGCGGTACAGTGACTTTCCTTGCCATTTAAAGGTGAATAGAGATAAACTTCCATTAATTAATCATCAATGGAAGTGTAAAAAGGAGAAAAGATTGTCGATTACATGTACCCTAATTTGTTCATGAAAATAGATCAACATGATGGATTCCGCCCACTGTGGCGGTCTGGATGAGAAAATTCCACCTGTGCCAGGAACCATTCAGATTGCAGGAGTCGTTGAATTCAGCCCGCTCACGAACTGAGAAAAAGATAAAAAATAATATTATTAACAATTTACCAAACTAAGATGCAGGACAAAAAGCGCAAATCTACTGTATGTCAAAAATTGTTCACAACCAAAAACTCGGCAAACGTACATGTATCTCAATACTTCCAGTTCTTTTCCTTACGGTAGCTTTCAGCTTATTCAATTTGAAGGCTAGTTTTGAGTTCAGCAAAAATTGGAGGCATTTTTGGGGAAACGTATGTAATGTTTAAGTCCAAGTTTAATGCTCCTTAATTATAAGCTCCTCTTGTTATGTAGTGGAGGCCCCTCTGTCTGATGGAAAACATTCTGGTCATGAGAGCCCTCCCCTCAGATTCATGTATAAGTCCCTTTCCCCCTAACCATTTTCTGTGACTGAAATTATGTACAAAGAATGGCACGTGTATGGAAAATTCTCATTTCTTATGTTATTCCTCCTGGCGAGTTGTAGAAATACAGGTCTTATTACAAGAATGTTAATACTTGCTATACAGTCCATACAGTCAGAATACCTTTACAGTGTTCTCCGTAAGTGCCAGCGGCTAGGAGAATTTCCTCTTCCTAGAGATTTTTTCAAGGTACAAAATGTACAGTACATGTACATACGAGGCAATCTTCAATATACAATGTATATTTTCATTACATCACGAAGCTGAAAACAATGAAAATTTGACTGAAAACTTGAAAATGAAACAAGAATCACAACAATAATGGCATCTTCAGGTGAATAGTCAGCAATGATGGCATCCCTGTGTGAACTTGTCTTTGCTCATAATTTTATGGTCGTGGTCACCATATTCATTTGATTAAGTGCCCAACCTGGAATGAGTGCCTACCCTGTAGGTAGGAAAAGTTAACAGGGTCACCATAGGTCAGAAAATGGTCAGGGAAAAATTTCTTCAAGGTCAGGAAAAAGTCAGGGACTTTTATTTTGAGTCAGGGAAAATTGACATTTTGAAGAAAAGTAAGAGAAAACTGAAATAATTTAACATGGCTGATTTAATACCATTGAAGGCTGGAAGAAACATTTGTGGTCACTGTGATCTGAACAATATTTTCCCTAAAACTGAAGTAGGGACATTTGTTGAAACTTATCAGTCTGTATGATTGAGTGGAATTAAGGATGGCTGTAAGTTGAGGCCACAAAAGCTGCTATTAGATCTGACATTCTGTATTTGTTTGGTCAGGGAAATTTTATTTTTATCACGGAAAAGTCATGGAAAAGTGAGGAAATTTTGAAAAGGGATATTTGTGGCAACCAAGGTTAATAAGCGACCAGCCTGGAATAATGTACTTTATTTTTTCTTTCAGGTTGTGTTTGCAGTTTATGGAACCCTATTTGGAATTGTGGGACTTTTTAAGTTGAGGTCAAAGTCCAAGAAAGAGTCCCCAGCAAAATAATTGTGAAAGAAATCATTCATCTGTAATTTTGTTCATGGAAGCATTCTTGTTGAGGGAGAACAGTTTGAATTAATGAGTGATGTAAAGTGTATGAAGCCATTTGTTATTCTAATAAACTGGATTGACTTTTAAAACCACTTCTGTGTTGTGTTGATGTTCAGTCCATTTAAGAGTTTAACCAGTCCAACAAAATTGGACAAAGTTAACACTAAGGAAAGATCAAAATATCCCAATTCCTAGCAAGGTGTTAGATTTTTTTTTTACCACGGAGAGCCAAGACTAAAAGAGCTCAGTAAGGGTCTGTTCTCTTTGGTTAATAGTAGGCTCAGGTACTAGCCACAGTTTGGGGAAGGGAGACTGGACTCGAGAGAGCATGGAAATCAAGCATATGTAGATACAATACGTTGTTCTATACAGTAGGTACAATGTTATGGAAAACAATAATAAAGTCAGGAATAAACCTTTTGGGGGAGTGTGAAGTGGATTTATGTAGAGTAAAAGAATAAGATAAAAAATAAATAACTCAATATAGCCTGAAAGGTTCCATGACCATCACATAACTCTGTCACTTTCATGCCCGCTACACAAGCTAGTCGTCAAAGTCACTTCAGAAGAGTGACTGTGTGTATCTAGACCTTTGGCATGTGATCTGTTATGATCAGGGGTTTAAACAACAACAAATGTTAAGTTGATCTGTTAACAATGCAGGCTGATAATTCCAGGAGCAGATTATTTACACTACGATATTGGATCTCTCTGTGCTTCGTTTGGAACTAATACAAAAAAAGAGAAAGTTTTGGTAGTTTTGTTGGCTAAAGAAAGGCAAAATCTTGTCGAAGAAGGGAGGGGACGGTGAACGAAGAGCCTCGTTGCCAGGAAAGGCCCAGGGCCTGGGAACCAGTGTGGCACAAGATGGCTGCCCATAAGGAAGATTTGGTTAGCGCTCTTGAGTCTTCACTACAGGTATTAAAACGGCTTCAATCTCTTCCCGAATCGATCTGTTTCATCTGCGTGTTTAAATTTCGCAATCTTTTCTCTTTTAGACGTGTGTGTCTCTGTTGCTTGTCACTGATAATTTGGAAAAAGATGGCGAGAAAATGAATGTCAACAAAAGTGGTAAGCAGATCAGGGCAACTTTCCGCACCATCAATTTAATTGAAATTACTAGACTTAATCGCGTGCAGTAAAGTCAGAAATAACACGGCAAAATGCTCCTCGCTAAAATTGGGACATACCTTTGTAACCTTCAGGTGTAGACGCCTCAATCATAAAATTTCTAGAGGCCGCCAAGTCACTGGAAGCTGATTTCCTCAGGAAGCAAATGTACAGCCGGGTAAATCATCCCCAAGAAGTCACAAAAGAGGTAAAGTTTCAAGCCTGGAAGGGTATATGCATGTACGTTGTTCCTTTGTTTGTCGCTCTAGTAATGCATTGTTCAAACAAAAGGCAGATACAAGAGTGAATGTATTCTCACAGTGGTGAAGCAAACTGGCAAAATAATGTTATGACCATAGTGGGGGGGCGGGGGGGGGGGGGGGTTTTCCGTAAATCTTTGGGTGGAGGTGTGCCGCTGGGACACTGGAACACTAACCCCATCCTATACCATTATCAGCTAAACCACTACTCTATCCCAGACTAGCTATTTTCCAAGCAGTAACTTTATCACTGTCGTAGTCTGACATACAACTAAACCAAAATCATACAAGTCACTTCCAAGTTTCAACTTCTATTGAAGAACCTCAAGTAAAAAACCCTGTTCTTGAATTATGTACCCTATTCTGGACCAAAACTGTCTGATTTCTATGCCCTATTCCAGACTAAACTGCTGGAAAACCATACCCTTCACAGCGGCGCATACATGTACCTACATAGCGTATGTACATGTATTGGAGTACCCCCACCGGGGTTATGACTGCATGTGATTTGCTATTCATAGATGGTCAATGTTAAGGTACTTCCCCTGAAATAAAACTGCACATAGATTTTTGTTCAAACTTTGTCCAATGGATATTTATCATATGAGAACTTAAATTATAAAATAAAAAAGGGGGGTGCCCATGCTTGTTTATTAAGTGAGGCATTGAAAATGTCCCATTTTAGCATTATTTAACGCTTATTACAAGAATGCATTCCAAGTTATTGTAAACTCTTGGAGAGCCCAGACTCATGAAAACACGCCTCAAACTACAGTCAATACTTGTGTAGGACACAAATAAACTTTTTAAGTTTGATTTTGACAGACAGCTGAATCCTTATTAAAATATTGGAACCAAATTGCTTGCCATGGCTATCACACTGCAAAATAGAAAAGACTACAGTGCAGCTGCTATTTTTCTTAGGTATTCAATTTTCAAACATAGAAATCAGATCAGTCTTTTCTCACAGAAAGCTAATGATTAGTTGATTAAAATGACTGGAAACAAATTTGGGGTGCCCGAGCTCGTTAGTGAGCTGTTAGCCATTTTTCAACTGACAGAACTCAATATCAAGGCAAATCCGCCATGTTTTCAATGTGCGTATGCACGAACGTGCGCTAATGACACCATAAATTATGCACAGTAAGGATGCGCAATGCAATACTAGGGAATGACCTTAACTGCACTGTACAAGGTTTTCTAACCAGTGTAAAAATTTATTAATTATGGGAGTGTTGCTACTATCAGGTGTTACTGATTTCAGAACTACACGCTAATCTTGTTTTAAAGATTTTTAATTAAATATGGAGTTAGCCTATGTTCAATAATATTATTAGGGTTATTGTTATTAGGGTTGGCCAAGGGGTTTGGTGTGTATGGTATACAGCCCTGTTGAGGGTTCAAGTTGGGTAAATGGTACTTTTACATTGAAATGTGGGCATACAGTGTCCATGTAATCTTGTTTTCATTTTTCCTTGATCTGGAGCAAATGTTCTGTCTTGCAGTGTTCTTATTTCGGGCAGACAGTAGAAATCACTAAGGGGAACAGAAATTATTTGGAAATATTGAGAGGTTCAAAAATTTGAGAGGCAAATATCTCTTAGCTTTTTGACAAGGTAGTTAAAGATTGCTTTGAATAAATGGGAGGTTTAAGGTCTCAAAAATTCAGGATAGAAATAAACCCCAGTACAGACCCAGTACAGTAGTAGCAGAATAATACAACACCCCTGCATGTATTTGATACTGGTAATTATTGTTTGTTGTCTTAAATACTCTTATTGTTTTATTTTCAGGAAGTGGACAAAATGAGAGCTGAGTTAGCTCAGAAAGAGGAACTTCTAACAAGAACAAGGGAGAAAGTTGCCATGTGGGCTAACAGACTCCAAGATCTTGAAACAAGACAAACAAGGCTTCAATTAGCAGACATTATACCGCAGAGAACTGTGTCATTAGATCCTTACTCTCTAGAAGCGTCAAGAAAGTAGTTGAATGTATTTGTAAAATTTGTACACTGTAGTATAATTTTAAAAGCAGATTATGTTAGTTATGAAGAAATTTCAAAATCCTGGGGTTTAATGTTGAGTTGAGTTGAGTCTCTCATTGTTCATTTAAAGCAACTGGGGAGGGTAGGGGAGGGGAGAAGGAATTGGCTGGATGGTTACTATGGAAAAGGCAGGGTTAAAGTTCCATTAATTAAGCTAATCTAGGTTTAGCTTATGTCAGTAGGTTCCATGTACTAACTTCTCACACACCGCTGGGAGCCATGCCAAACTGAACCACGCAACCTTACCTTAAGTAACAAAACAACATAACTGTCTTACAACTGCACAAAAACTTGGCTAGAAAATAAATTCATGGCAACTTAATGCACTCTTGAAATACTTCACGAGTGGGCAGGTGGGGGATGTCAAGCAGTGGCAGATAGCAAAACAAAAACTGAACCTTGTACACGCCACATGACCTGCAAACCCCCACACACTTGTACTCAGACTCCCAGCTGTGTGTGAGAAAAACATTTTCCACTTCATTCGTTTCTCAGCCAGCGGAAAACCTTGCCTCTCAGTGAGGTTTTCTGCCCTCCAGTTTTGACACTACTTATCTCGCACTGCACAAATCAAGAAAAACCTTTATCAACCCTTAATCCTGGGTTGCTCTTGAATAACCTGGTACGGGAGAATAAATCATGGTTACCAGCAAACCCAGGGGGGAGACTCCCATATAAAAAGGACGGGGGGGAGGGGTCTCGTCGTACCTTTAAGGGGTTGAAAAGACTGTTTTGGTACCTCTTAGTGTGTTCAGCCACAAAAGGTCCACAACGGGAGCTTTTGTGATACCTTTTAAGGCATTGAGCTGAAGAAATATGACAGAGATAAAGTGTTATGTAAGAATTGGTACCTTAAATTTTAAGCCATGCCCAAAAAACAGGATCTTAGTACCTCTTAGGGATTCTTTTCAAAATTTCTGACGAGCACCCCGTTCTTTTTATATGGGAGTTCCCAACCCCCCCAACCCCCGGCCAACCCCCAGACCAGTATACATGTGCTGATGAAAGGCTGGGGCCAAACATGATTGTGATGGAGTAACATCCCATCTAGGGAGCTTGGGAATACTCCTACACTCTTATGTGTTTCTGAGCTTCTGCTCATTTTGCTGAGATAAGCTTTTATGGCATGGGCTGGTTTCGCTCCAGTGCAGATTCTATTATTGATGGAGGTGTACATAAAAGAAGTTTCTCAATAAAGTCATGCTTTCTCACAGGCAAAAGAAACCTTTCTCAGATGCAACAGAAACCTAACCAATATCATAGATATAGGACTTAGAAACCACCCCATCCCCTCGGGAAAAAAATGCCGTCCATCCATGGAGTCACGCAATCTTCATTTTCTGTGACGCGTTCAGTGTTGCGTGAGTGGTGTAAAGTTGACAGTGACAGTTGACAGCTGTATTTGCGTATGGCCCTAGATCAGGCCTGGTAAGTACTTGATAAATATACGCGCAACCATTTCAGAATATGCAGAATTCAGAATGAGGTTTAACGACAACCGCCAGGATTCCACCTGCTGTTGACAGAATCAAGGAAAAAAAGAAGTGCAAAGGAAGTAACGTGATTTTGCAGAGCTGAAGCGAACGACTGGTTTTGGCGCCAAGGAAGAAGGAGTTAACGCTGAGAAACTTTATTAGTCAGAGAAATCTACCTGTTAGCTCTTGTTTAAATTCGGAAGGTAAGAGATTTGTTAACGGCAACAGCAACAGTAGTTTTGGCATGAACATGCTCGCTGTGAAAAGTTCGTGGTGTCATTCACGAGCTGACACCGCTCTCTCAAGATTAATGGTTTTTCAAGTCGTAACGTGCAACAGCCATCAAGCCAAGTTTATAAGCTTACTTTTAGCTTCCCTTAGCTTGCGGATTTCGCTTTTCCATAACCTATGATAAATAGATTGATCTTTCAGTATTAGTGAGTTTATTGTTTTTTTCTTGTTTTGACCGGAGAATCTTATAATGTAATAGCCCTCTTTAAAATTTGAGCTCATGTGACACTCTCGTGGGAACTGTTCTTTTGTCTGCTGATGCTCACGTGAAACCTCAACGGCAGTCACATGATCTGCAAACAATGGAGTTGAATAAATGGTCAGTCAGCAAATCAACTGATCTGACAGAGCTCTATATACATGTAGACACATTTCAATTTCTTTTACTTGTATTACAGGTTTTATTTAGTTCTGACTGTCTTGTTTCGTGAAAATGAAACAAGTGTTGAGGTGGATATAAGAATTACTGTACGTGGATATATTTTTAATGGCATCTCCCGTCATGTTGATGTGACCTCTTATTACAAAATATTCTGGGATGCAACTTTATGAATACCAGAAAATGGCAAGAACATTTATTTTGTAAAGCTACCAATCTTTAAGTCACAGAACTTTGAAGAGGAAAATTATAGGGATTTGTATGTCAATTTTTACAGAGGCTGCAACACATGCTGGTAATTGAGTTGAGCACAAATGTAATATCGTTATTATTTAAATGAATTACTAATAGTTTCTGAAGTGGAAAAGGAAGCGTTGTTTTCTCTAGGTTTTGCCCCCACCCCCTCCTCCCTGACTCTGATGTGACAGCCTGCATCTAACCTCCTAACCCTTAATCTTACTGAGGGGGGTGAATAGGTTTTCGGATCGACGGATTTGGCCTTAAAAAGCGCACTGATTGTGGATTCTCATGGTAAATCGAGCGGATTCACGTATTTTGAAAACACAGTGGATCGTGGATCAGCTGTGAAATTTGGTGTGGATTCCGGATTGTACTTGTCTTGATGTTGGGATCTTGGGTCCTAAACCAAATTTGGATCATAGATCTTTCTTCAGCCTTGGTCAGTATGTTAATGAGTTCATCCAAATTATTTCTTTTTTCGAACAAAGCTCATTTAAACTCATGTATGAGACTGTTATTGGAATTGTACTATGTTATGGCTATCACACATGTTGCCTTCTTTACTATTTGTACGAAATTAACAATGGCATTCAAATTTACCAGTTTACCTTTTTACCTTCTGCTTTGAACTTTTACACTTGTGTTTCTGTATGTGGTTGCGGTGTCGGATTATTGAACAAAAATATTGGTGGGTGGACGGATTTGGTGAAAAAAATGCACGGATCGGCGGATTCACCCCCCACCTCACTGTTGGCCTTTCATTTCTTTTCAGTGATGTTCATAATAAAAATGCAAAAGGACAAAGTATTATGATCAAAATTATTCTTCTTTGTCATTAATTTTGCTCAATTCTTTCTTGTTGTGCCAGACTAATTTGCCAAGATGCCTTTAGGAGCCTGGTTGAAGTTCAGACGACCTACTATAGAGCCAGTGATCTTTCTTTATGCCTATGGCCTCTTCATGCACTTGCCCGTTATTCAACAGTACATCTACAAACGTGTCAGTGATGATAAGGGTTTCCCTTATAGTGCATCATCAAAAGGGAGCTGCAGTAATCAGACATTAAATGTAACTCTTAAAGAATTGGAAAAGGAGGTGAATTTCTTCATTATTGCCGTATTAGTATGTATAATGCACCAGTCATTTGAACCCTCCTCCCCCACCCAAATTTGGGGATACCGGGGGCATTCACGTCTGCTGTCAGTGAAATGCAGTGAAAGCCCTGTCTTGCAGGGAAAAAATTCATAGTGAACTCTCCCGCCCTCTAAACATCAAGCACAATTCATTAATAAAAAAGATTGATATAATTTTTTAATAACTGGAGCTTTCACAGGATTTTTTTCATATCTCCTTCGTTAGTTGTTTAATCTCCATGTTTTCTATGAACATGCAACTTTAACCCAGTCTTCTGAAAGAGGTGGCGAACCACAAGTGAAATCCCCGCCAAACCCCTGCTCTGACCCTGCACTGTATAGTGAAGCTGCGAAAAAAGGTACCCTCTCCAACTACTGGGGAACCTAAATTGAGTGAAAACGAGGTGAAAACCCCCGGTTTGTNGGGGGTCAAATTACTGGTGCATAATCTGTTAACCAGATAAGCATTCGATTCCACACGATTTCAGGAACTAAGCTTTAAAACGATGCCTTGACTACGAATCTATCACAGTCCAAATGTCTTAAATATGAGTCTACAATAGTCCAAGTGTCCTCGATATTCAAAATGAACTCAATTGTCTCCTGTTCATAATCACATAATAATTATACCTTGATCACCCTGGGCGTAATGTAATTGTAAATACTGTTCTTTCCCATGACACTCATTCACGCGCAACCACTGCTGCCTCCCTCCACGACTAAATTAAACCCAGGAGTTTGAGTGTTCTTTCTTTCCCTGCAGTTGTGTGCTATATATGTACCTCAACTTCTCTTCCCCCTGCCCCCCCCCGAGCCCTGGCTAATGCTGTCTTGTGATGTTTTTTAGGTTAATTGTATTTCATTCTGAGAATGTGGTCAATGAACCTCCATCTCCTCCAGATGTAGATTTGCTTACTGATGGTGCTGATGTTAGCCCAGTTATGAATCTCTTCATTTGGTCGCATCCGTCATACACCACGTTTCACACCTGTATAGTAACAACTACATTATTTGTCGGCAGCGATCTTCAGTGTCATGTACAGTTTCAGTTGGCTGCTCTTCCAATGTTTCTAAGCTTTCCCAAGTCAGTTTCTGATGTCTTCTTCTGTACCTCATTTGTGGGCTAATGCTCCTTCAGTTGATAAACAGCACCTCCTCCAGTCATTTCCATTGACTTGAACCTTTCACTTGCAGGGCTGTTCCACTATGGTCTTTACTTTGCTCATTTTGAGACCTCAGGACAAGGTATTTATAAATTTAGGTTGGATTAATAATAATTTATTTTTGTTCAATTCTCCACATGTAGGTGCAGGCCTTATCATCATACATTCACTTGGGAATAGTCATGTTTGCTTCAATTCCTTCCATATTAACTGCTCTCTTTATTGGTGCCTGGACAGACAGTGTTGGGCGTCGACCTGCCCTAGCCTTGCCCGCTATTGGAAGTACACTTGAAGCTTTCATTGTGCTCTTAACAATGTACTTTGAATGGCCTATTTACGTGTTGTTTGTGGGGAGTGCCATCAGCGGCACATGTGGATATTTTACCACAATGGTGCTAGCAGTCATGGCGTACATTGCTGACACTACTGATGAATCAGATAGGAGTTTCCGCTTGGGTAAGAAAAAATCTGTGGAGCCCTGGACTTTGAGTGAAGAAATTTAAAAATAAGATATACTGCAGTCCTCTGGGCAAGATGGTAACAACATTAGTTTGCTAACCCTGAGAAGCTGGATAGCGGTAGTGTGGTCTACCAAGTGGTTAAAACCTCTCTTCTGGTTCTAACATTTGCTCCTAATCCACTGTAGGGGAATGACATCCACCCTAGTCTGCCCCCCAGAATTTTGTCAGGTTGCTGTGGTTAACAGTTTGCAGCAGCCAGGAGGAGAGACATGGTTTAAGATTAACACATTGACCCAGCTGTTCAGTGCCCCGGGAGAGGAGTAATCCTTATACGGGGAGACTCAGTCTGTAAGGGATACCTTTTTCAACCGTCAGTTATATGAAAGGGTAGGGAGTTCGCAAGTTGAGCTTTATGAAAGGCTCGAAAAATCTGTCATTTAGATGTAACATGAACAGGAACTGAATAAATGAAACCTGTTTTTTGGTTAAAATCTCTTCTGGTAATGCTTGATGTTCTCCCATAGTATGCAAAGGGATGCAGTGTTCTTTTAAAAGTAGGTACATGTAGGTGAAAGGAGAACGTTTTTTCAATAAAAGGTATAGGAAAGGGGTACTTTTACTGTCAAAATGGTATACAAAAGGGTAAGGGGTTGGATCTTTGGGCAGAGCCTTCCCATACAAAACTGGCCCTGTGGCCAGTGCTTTAACTAGAATCAGGATTGATAAGCTTATGAGCTGGCTGTCACTCATTCTACCTTGTTGCATTGTAAATGGAGCAGAAGGCTGCCCGGTAACACCTTACAGTACATCCTTTATGGTCATCTCTACCTCATATTTATTGCGGCCATAATCTTTGTCATATTATTCAGTCAGTGTACGTATGTACATTTATTATATGGCTGTGTCTCTCAAGGACTGGAAACTACTGAATTCACGAATTTGATTGGGTGAAATTGATATTGACCGCGGTCTAGATTTTCCCATCTAGACTGGCATCTAGACTGGTTTCATTTTGCGTTGAAAAAGTAGTAAACTAAAATACAAAAATGTTCACCATTTTCTTTTATTTTCTTCTGAAGCATTTATGGAAGTGCCAAAAGCCTATGACAAAAAAAAGAAGTAAAGAGGACGAGCAAATTTCGGCAGGTTTAAGTTAAGCTCTTTGCCATTCGCAAGCACAATGTCAGCAAACCAGTTACATTAAACGAATTAAAGTTTTCTTTGCCATATAATAAACATCTTATTAACCCAGCTAAGTCGGTCTGTATAGGAGAATGTTGACCTCGGTTGTGTGTACAGACCGCACTGCGTTCGGTCTGTACCCACGGTCGGTTTGTATCCACGACCTCGGTCAAGATTCTCCCATACAGACCTCCTGCTTGGTTAATAAGAGCTAAGTATACCTTACAATTTCAAAGGTTTCAGAAATATTCAGCTGATAATTATATTCGATTGTTTTCTGTTGCAGCTGTCATGGAATTTCTGGTGTTTTTTGGTGGAATGATAAGTCAACTCACCAGTGGCCTGTGGATTGAGAATCTTGGTTTTGTAGCACCATACTGGTTCATATTTGTCTGCCTTCTTGCATCAGTTCTCTACATAATTTGCTTTGTCCCAGAATCAAGGACCTCTTCATCCACAGTGGGCAAGAAGTTAAACATCCGCAAATTATTCAGCTTATCAAGCATCAAGAGAGTCTGGTATGTGTACAAGTGTCCAAGAAACGGGGCTGGAAGAAATCTCATCATCTTCACACTATGTTCTGGTGTCATTGTTCTAACCACCCTCGGCGTGAACGGGGTCGTTGTGCTGTTCCTGTTGCACAGCCCACTATGTTTCTCTGCGGGAAAGGTTGGATATTTTTCTGCATTCCGATACTTCTCACAAGGCCTTGGTGCTGTTCTTGGTATAAAGGTATTAGGGAGGTGTATAAATGAAGTCAACATTGCTAGAGTTGGTATTATCTCCCTTGCGTTGTCACTGCTCGTGTTTGGATTCTCTAAATTTGAGTGGTTGGTGTTTATGGGTAAGTACTTTCAAGCAACTCTCTTTTACCTGTGCACATTTTCTTTTAGTCTCATTTCTCTCTCTTCTTTGTTATAATCAGCACCAGTGGCTGGAATATTTGCTGGAACAATCACCCCTGTTTTTCGTGGCATGATGTCAAGAACTGTTGGTGCAGATGAACAAGGTAAATTTAAAAATCTGTTAACATAATTTTTCACTAATTAAGTATGCAATTGTTTTACTGATTGTAATGGACCATTTTCACAATGTTGTGTAACTTATCTTATCTTTGTGACACAGTTTCTTAGTATCTCCCACCATTTAGGTCTACAATGTGTGCAGAATGTACATTGCTTGCAGACCCAACTGCTTGCAATGATGTCCTGACTGTATTTATGCCTGTAATGCCACCAGAAGGCACAATGGGTCAGTGGCTCTTTGTATGCATTGCGGACCTATATGTGCATGTTTGCTAGAGAGTTTATTGGGATCAGATCTTATGCAGAACTTCTGTGCTGTTTTAGGTGCATTATACATTGCTGTCACACTATCCTTTTCAGGAGCACTGTTTTCAGCCACTGCATCCCTGGAAACCTTGTTTAACTTTATTGGTGCCTTCATCTTCAACTCAATGTATCCTGCTTCTCTGAAGTTCGATTTTCCAGGATTTGTGTTCTTTCTGGGAGCAATACTATTAATTATACCACTGCTACTCATATGGTTGGTACCCATCATGTTGTTTCATGTGACTTATATTTTTATTAACCCAGTTACAATACATTGCGTACACTGTTCATTAACTTTTACAGGCTGTACAAATTAGTGAATGTAATAATGTATGCAATGTATTATCAGCACATACATTACCTACTACATTCTCACTTAAAACACATAAATTTAATAGTTATTACTGTTTTACGTAGCTAGGGAATTGGTAGTGCCTCTGTTGGCAGTGCCTCTCCCCACCCAGGTGTATATATGGGTCCTAGTGGCAGCCCAACCAAATACAATGGGTAACCTGCAATTGACTTGCATCCCATCCAGGGGTTAAAGGAGCTATTAGTTAGGGTTTGCGCATCTTGAAAAGTTTAGTCTAAATATTTCAAGTTTGTCGTGTGTAATCCGTGTTAATCTTCTTCATCCTTAACCATCCTTGTTCCTTTATGGTTTATTATTGCATTATCATCTCTTCGCTGTTTTTCTATCTTCTATCTGTATCTCTAGATTTTCTTCGGGTTGTTTGGGGTAATTTTGTGTGGTAACAAATTAACTCAAAATACCATGACTGAGCTCCTTTAAGTATGAATACTCCTGGTCGCTTTATGGAATGGAAACCAGAGACTAGCCTTTGTCACTGCATCCCTACCTGAAAGAAAAATTCGGAAAGGCGTCTCTCCAATTTTTTTCTCTTAAGAGTGGGGGTGGGGGGAGGGTTGTGACAAAGACTACCAGATAAGATAAGATAAGATAAGATAAGTTCATTTATACACGGTTTTTCCATCAGTCAACAAAGTTACTGGACTATCTACCTACCTGCCTAACTACAATAAAAATTTTAAAAAAACTGCTTTTCGTGGAGGCCGTGTCTAAAAATTTACTTAAAATAAGATATTACTTTAAACTGTGGCGACCTAATTTAGATTTGAAATCGGTCAGTGAAGGTGCTTGTCTTAGGTCTATAGGTAAGTAGTTCCACAACTGAGCTCCGCTGTACGAAAAACGTCTTTTAAGATAATCAGTTCGAGGTTGTGGAAGAACTAATTTGTTTTCGGTATTCCTTAAACGATAAGCATTTACGTTGTCACGATATACGAAACTTGATCTCAGATAATCAGGTCTCGTACCATTTAATGTTTTATACATTAGGATAGACTTCCGTTCCAATCTTTGATAGTAGAGTCTTCGCCACCCTAGTGCCCGAAAATTACCAGAGAGAGGTGATCCATGCCAATAAACGGACTGTGTCCTCTGATTGTTGGGATTGGTGGAAGTTTCTTAGAATGGGCTCAGTACCTCACTTAATGAACTCACACAAATGCACCAGTAGTGAATGAAAATAATAATAATAATAATAATAATAATAATAATAATAATAATAATAATGATAATAATGATATACTGTGATACTCCTAAGCCCTTTCAGTAACACAGTGATCAAGATCAGTTTCTTTATTCTCAACATTAGTCTCCTTGTAGTGTAAGGAGAATATGCATGCTAATCGCTCTTGAATTTACCTTTGCAGCTGCTTGAAGAACCCCAGGAGCTTCTTGTCAAAGAGAGATTTGTTCAGGTCAGGACAGCCGGATAACATGGAGAAAAATTTAATCTCACCCGGAGTCAGCATCTCAAGTGAATCAAGCTCATCTCCAGTTCCGAGTCCTACACCTGATGACACATATCAACCGGTAGCTTGAAAGAGAACTTGCTCCATGCATCATCCGGGAATCCATCTATCCATACTGTTAACTTAGCTCTACAGTTTTCTGATTGGTTGTGTAGTAATCGCACGTGACAGTCGTAACAATCAACAACCAACTGGAGACTGTACGGATCTCCGTAGATCTAAAAGAAAATCCAGATAGGTCGTGTGGCACTTTGTATAGACCTAGGCAGAAGTGTTATCTAATGATGACTTTAATGTTCATGTGAATTTATTGATAATAATTATTGAAAATATTTTAGACAGTAGAAGAGAGAGAAAATCTTGAAGACTGAAGAATTTATTGAGAATGATCAAAAGTTGCAGAATTTCATTGGCATCGCAATCGAAATTTAAACTGTATATTAATGCTTATCTTGAACAGTACAGTGTGTGTATGTTGTAGGACAACTATGCGATTTCATTTCCTTACACTTAATAATTTTTTTTTTGTCCTTAATAAAGAGAGAGAATTTATATGAATTTTATGACTGCGCCGCTTCTAGTTTTTTTTACGTCGGCACATAAATCTTATTAAAGACCCATGACGGACCGGTGTGCTTTGCGCGTCAAGTCGTGTCGCCATATTTTCATTGAGTCGAATTAACAAATTGACGTCAGTTTTTCATGCTTCTGTCCTGTTATTGATCATGAATTTCGTCATAACATCGTCAAAGTAGCTGTGTCCACGAGGCGATAGCCGAGTGGATCCGCAAACTACTTTGACAAAGTTATGACGAAATTCATTGTCACTAACAGGACAGACGCATTAAAAACTGACGTCAATTTGTTTTTTACGATAACGAATTGTCAAATTGTCCGCCCTCGCTCGCTGACGCATCCCATAAATTATAAATTCATGTGTCTGTCCGCTTATTGACAATAAAAATTAGCAAATGAGCGCGCGAGAATTTCTGCAGTTGTCGTAAAAAAGTAAGTGAAACCATTGAATCCATAGCAATCCGTTACCATCCGGTGTTTTTGCTGCTTGGCTGGTTGCAGAGTGTGCGACATTTAAACCCCAATGCTTTCCATAAGTAACAGGCCCTTTATTTATTGTCCTCGATTTTTTGGCCTACTTGCTTCGCGCTTGGGCTCACAGATTATTGAGTTTACATCCTTCTTGCCACACAACTCAGACCACGTGATGATTTACTTGGAAGGTTCCAGTTGTGCAATTTGCCCAAGCAACTGAGTGCATGTGTAAACAGAACAATGGTAACCTCCCAAATGAATCATCATGTGGTCTAGATTGGGTGGCAAGAAGGATGTAAACACGTCAGCCGAATCCACATAGCCCTCGTCGCTTCTCTTAGCCAGAAGGGCCTTGGCACGAGAAACTTTGTCAAAAGTTGCGTCTTATCATGCTTATTAAAATTGATAACATAAAAAAGTTTCACGGTGCCGCTATTGAATTATAAGTCCCTGAAGCTGTGATTAAGGGTGGTTTTAGCAGGTCATACTGTTACCATGGTAACCTATAGCGTCGCAAAAATGATAACGTCTTCACCAATGATTGGGCAGTCTTTTGATACCCTGATTGTAGCATCAACTGATAAAGAGTGGTTATAACGACCCATCAAAATCTAACTGTTGAAAACTGTTTTGAGCCACCTTAGTCAGTAGGGCGTGTATACATATTACTAGCAAAAAATTTCCGACGTTAAAATTTCGGACTTTTAATTTCCGGACACTTTGTATCTCATTTCGGTCAAATTTCGGGCAACAATTTCGGACGCTACTGAAACATGGCTAAGGTAAATGTGCGCCTACAAAACATGAAGTAGACTGACAATGATAGTTTTACTGCACCATCAAGGTTTTACGAATACACCGACGAGAAAATAACATAAATACTATGAAGCCGTTACGTATCTAAATCAGTGTCTCAACTAGGGTTCGCTTCAAAAACCCCGGCTTAAAGGAAACTAATAGCTCTGGAGCTACTCAAAGTATTTCGGACGCTTAAAAATTTCGGACGGTTTCATTTTTGGAGACGTTTTTGTCTGAAATTAAAATCGTCCGAAATGTTTTGCAAGTGATGTACTTTAAAAAATGGAATTTTACCCGAAATTTAAAACTCTGCTAATTAGATATTTAAACACTCTTTTAAATATTTTCCCTTTCGTTTTGTTTTTCCGTATTTATATTAGCAACGGGCGTTCACTTCTGCAAAAGCTGCACACTACAATACTGAAAACGTCGCGTAAAGCTTAGTCGATGAAAACAGGAAAAAATCAACCGTGACAAGCATTTTTACAGGAGACGCTTCGTTGATTGTTTAAAACACGCCGTTCTAATTAAATTGTCAATGCTACGGTTATTTCAATTAACGGGCAAAAATATTCATGAATTGAGTAGAATAAGGTTATTCGTTGTGCCGTGACAGCAGTACTTAGTAAACGTCTGAGAGTACGTCTGAAAAGATACTACTTTGAGTAAATTAATCTGTTGGAGCGATGTGTGCCCATGATTAAAGTTCTAAAAAAGGAGATTAAAACAGATCTGAAAAAACGTTAAAGCTGGACTTTCCACCGCCTTCTGCGGTTTTCGACAGAGAAATGGGGGGCAACGAACAATGACGTGCCATTCCGTGACTCTTGCAGACTACATTTCTCTGAAGGAGATCGCTGAAGGCAGTCGAAAATTCAGTTTTTACGTTTTTCAGATCTGAGTAAAGTTGTAAAATAAAATGGAGAGCTCGAGAACGACCTTTCGTTATGCAAATTAAAAACGGCAATTTCGAAAATGAATTCGAGAGTTGGAATCCAATCCTACTTTTCCTTGTCACGCATATTCGAATTGAAATTTAACACTTTCATCCGGCTGTCATATTTATGGCAAACGAAAAAGGCAAGTACATTCAAAAACCTTTTTCTTCGCTAGGGGAAAGCGGACTTAGTGAATCCGATTTCAGAAATGAGAAAAAGAAAACTAGAACCGTGAACTTCTTTGTTATGCAAATTCAAATTCAAATTCAACACCTTTTTATAACTTACATTTTTATGGAATTTACAAAAGTAGACTCTTAATTTTTGCTTTTGTACGTCTAAAATATACCTTACGCTACAAGAGACACACAAGTGCTGTGGTCCACAGCAGAATCCGCCGTCCCGCTTTGTCTACGAGTAAACAGGCCAGACCTGTACCCACAAACTGAGCCAAGCCCACTGTTATGGGGACAAGTTTTCCATTTGAGAAGCCTGCCGTTCCAAAGATGGTTGCAGCGTTAAAGAGCACTGCATTGACTCCACAAAATTGTTGGAAAACCATTAAACCAATGCTGATTATCAGGGGCTTTGCTATCACTGGTGATAACACATCACGCAATTGAAGCCGATCACGATGCTCTGTCAAAAGATAATTAAAATCACTTAATTACTTCAATCCATACTATTTTCAATGAAAACACAAATCGCCTCGTTATAAAGGTTTGGCCCTCAAACTTTGCATTTTGTTTATTTTGTCATGCTCTTTCCATTTTCTGAAATTCTTACAATGTAGCTACAATTACGAAATACACAGCATTTATTGAGGTTTAGTTGCCACTCAGCTGTGCTCTATTAGAAATCCGCGAATCTGATCGGTTCCGTTATCGTTTTCGATCCGCTGATAGACAACGATCGCGCGCGGTGCTCTTGAAACGGAAAATTATTCATAATTTTAGGCTTTAAAATACGCAAGATTGTATGTTTTGCGCTATTAGCGCGGAAAGCGAGAGTGGCCGCGAATTGGGCGCAAAAAAATTGTCTCTCCCCAGAGACAACCTAGTGTGGACAGACTAGTGTTGCACATGCTAATGGTTTCCTCTCAGGAATCTGGGGTCTTCTTTTTAGTCCAGAGGTCTTCGTTTAAATTAATGCATCAGTCAATGCTTGCCTGGTTCTTATTTTAGGGTCACTCTATGTTTACGAAATCTATTGACTGTCATGACAAGGGAGAAAGCCGTTCACGAAATACATCACTAGATCAGCGGGTCTTCCGCCCTAGGATTTACTTTCTGTGATCTTCGTTTTATTAACACCGTAGTCAGTTGACCACTTGCTAGTGAGGCTGTTTGAAGCTACAAACGGTTTTTTTTTTTCCACATTCTGGTTTTCTGATTCATCAAACGATAGTGACTATAAATAACAGTGACTTTATTTGTAATCTCCGCCGCAGCCGTTTTTGGGCTGGGGTGTTTAATACGCAACGCTTCTCCAGCGTTGCGTGACCTGCAGTTTTCTGCAGCATGCGAGCCGCACTGATCACAATCCCATTGAGTGGCAAAAGTTTGGAGAATTTAATAGCTTTCCTTTCCCAAAATTGTTCAATATTTCTAATCAGATATACAGAAAGAAGACTACCCAAGGGACGCTGTTCCGATCTACCTTCATGTTCTCTGAACTAAAATTTTGAAATCAGTTAAGTGGAAGCTAAGGAGATATAAGACATCTCGTGAATACTGCTTTTAATTCAAGGTGGACACTTACATTGTGCAACCCGCAAACGGAAAAATTCACTTATCAAGAGGCTATTTTACGCAAACATTATTGTAAAGTCGTGCAATTAAACCGCTCCCTGAATTTATTTAATTCTAAACGCGGTAAACGCAATGAGTATTCACGCTCTCCATTAAAAAAGCGTTGCGCGACATATCGAAATTTTTATAAGCGGAAGAAAAGAAACACAGATAACGAAACAGGTAAACTTACCGAGAACCAGGACCCCTGTTGGTTAGTTAACCGCCGGGGTGAGAGATTGTCACCCATATCAACTTTCTTTTATTTCATAAGTTCTTGCGCAATTACGGATGCGCCACACTCGCGTTTTAGGCGCAGGGATCTCAACAAATGCTTTCTTAACTTTTTAAAGATGCTACTTTTGGTCCTCAACCAAATCTACACACGTGCATTTCACTTGTGGAAAACTATCGATTTGCACAGTGTTTGGGTTGGAGATTCTCGCCCATATCAACTTTCTTTTATCTCGTAAGTTCTCGCGCGTTTAAAGATGGGCCACACTCCCGTTTTAGCTGCAGGGAACCCAACCAATGCTTACCTAACTTTTTTAAAGATGCTACTTTTAGCCCTCCCCCAAATCTACACGCATGTATTTTACTTGTGGAAAACCATCGATTTGCACAGTGTCTTGGGTTGGAGATTCTCGCCCATATAAACTTTCTTTTCTCTCGTAAGATCTCGCGCGTTTAGAGATGCGCCACACTCGCGTTTTAGGTGCGAAGATCCCAACAAATGCTTACCTAACTTGTTAAAGATGCTACTTTTAGCCCTCCCCCACATCTACACAACTGTATTTNAGATATAAGACATCTCGTGAATACTGCTTTTAATTCAAGGTGGACACTTACATTGTGCAACCCGCAAACGCAAAAATTCACTTATCAAGAGACTATTTTACGTAAACATTATTGTAAAGTCGTGCAATGAAACCGCTTCCTGAATTTATTTAATTCTAAACGCGGTAAACGCAATGAGTATTCACGCTCTCCATTAAAAAAGCGTTGTGCGACATATCGAAATTTTTACAAGCGGAAGACAAGAAACACAGATAAAGAAACAGGTAAACTTACCGAGAACCAGGACCCCTGTTGGTTAGTTAACCGCCAGGGTGAGAGATTGTCGCCCATATCAACTTTCTTTTCTTTCGTAAGTTCTCGCGCAATTACGGATGCGCCACACTCGCGTTTTAGGCGCAGGGATCCCAACAAATGCTTTCTTAACTTTTTAAAGATGCTACTTTTGGTCCTCAACCAAATCTACACACGTGTATTTCACTTGTGGAAAACTATCGATTTGCACAGTGTTTGGGTTGGAGATTCTCGCCCATATCAACTTTCTTTTCTCTCGTAAGTTCTCGCGCGTTTAAAGATGGACCACACTCCCGTTTTAGCTGCAGGGAACCCAACCAATGCTTACCTAACTTTTTGAAGATGCTACTTTTAG